GATCCACCCCCGCCGCCGACGCCGACGAACTAAACCGGTTCTTTGTGGAGGTGGGCCCGAGGACCGCTCGACAGGTGACAGCGGCCGGCCCGGAGCTGCCGACCCGCCTGCCGCGCGTCTCCACTGGGGCTTTCCAGGTCACCCCGATATGCCCGGACGACCTGCGCCGAGTGGTGGGGAGAATGCGGAGCAGTAAGGTGTGCGGTGCTGACGGACTTTGCGTGCATTTTATAAAACAGTGTCTGCCGTCGCTGTGCCATATTTTAACGCACATTGTCAACTCGAGCCTCGTGTCACATCATGTTCCTCGCGCTTGGAAACTGACGCTCGTACATCCGATTCAGAAATCGACTAAATCTACCGACATTTCAAACTACCGACCGATTTCTATTTTACCGACTATCGCCAAGATCACCGAACGTGTTGTGTACGAACAGCTTTTTTACTACTTCTCATCACATCACCTGTTTTCTTCTAGTCAGCATGGTTTTAGGCCGAACCATAGTACAGATACCGCGCTTCTTACCGTCACCGACTCAGTTTTTACCGCGATGGATCATGGCAAAGTTGCTCTTATCTCATTACTCGACCTGTCAAAGTGTTTCGATGTTATTCCGCATGACCGTCTGCTGAACAAGTTGTGTTTATACGGCGTTGACACACGGTGGTTCGAGAGCTATTTAAGCGACCACTACCAGCAGGTCTGTGTGCAGATGTCCGTCGGCTCTCGGTGCACCTCTCGACCGCTCCCCAATGCCATCGGTACCTACCAGGGGTCAGCGCTTGGGCCACTGTTGTACTCCGTGTATGCAAATGACTTGCCTCTTTACGCTGACAACGACGCGGATATTGTGCAATACGCCGATGACACTCAGGTTCTGGTCACTGGGGGGCCCGGCGACATTGGCTCCTTAGTAGTCATTATGGAGAACGTTCTTGTTAAACTAGGTCATTGGTTCAGCAAAAATGGTTTGAAAGTTAACGCAGAAAAAACTCAGCTCATCTTAACCGGATCCAGGCAAAACATTAAGCGGCTTCCACCTGTCAACATCAGTTTCATGGGCGCCACTGTCGCCGGCTCCCCCACTGTGCGGAACCTGGGTGTCGTGTTTGATCAGAGCCTGACGTTCTCGGCCCACATTGATGACGTTGTACGCCGCTGCACCGGTACACTGTGTGGCCTCGCTCACAGCCGGCACTGCCTGCCACAGTCCTGCATGGTCCGACTGGTCGAGGGACTCGTTGTCTCGCTGATACGCTACTGTATTACCGTGTATGGGTCTGCGAACAAGACTCAGCTTGGCCGCCTTCAGCGAGTCCTCAACTTCTGTGCGCGTGTTATCTCCGGCCGGAGGAAATTCGACCACATTAGCGACGTGTTGCGACAGCTGGAATGGTTTACCGCTGATAACTTGTATCTGTACCATGGCTTGACGCTGCTAAACAAGATCCTGCGCACATCCGAGCCAGAGGCACTCTCGAGTGGTCTCATCACTCGACAGGATGTCACCCGCCGATCCACGCGACAGTCAGACCATCTCGTGACGCCCCAGATTTTATCAGAGTCTGGGAGGCGGAGGTTTTTATACTCTCACGTGACAGCATTCAATAGACTCCCACCAGCGATGCGTGATATGCAGCACTCTCTTTTTAAGAAAGAGCTGCGTGAGAGGCTTCTGAGGAGTCAGAATGACGGCTGATCAGACTCGCTGACGTTATTTTATATTATATCTGACGCCGTTCACTCACTCGTATGCATGCATGTGTGTTTTTATGTACCCACCTATTGCACCTGCACCGACTGTACCTTCTTGACTCGAGGCTATGAATAGCCATTGTATGATGGAATGCCTCACGACGTGAAATAAATAAATAAATAAATAAATATCAGGGGCACCACGAGCCTGTCGTAGCCAGGCATCTCAGGCTTGTCAAGGCCCAGGGGCACCACAGGTCTGTGAGGGGCACCAGCGACCTAGCAGGGGCACCAGTCAACACAGGTCTGCCAGGGGCGCCACAGATCTGCCAGGGGCACCACAGACCTGCCAGGGGCACCAGAGGTCTGCCAGGGGCACCACCGGCCTCGCAGGGACAGGGGCACCTTGGGCCTGTCAGGGGCACCACGGACCTGCCGAGGGGCACTTCAGACTTTTCAGGAGCACCAGTCCTCTCCGGGCGCAGGGGTACCAGCGGCCTAGCAAGGGCACCAGAGGTCTGCCAGGGGCACCAGCGGCCTAGCAAGGGCACCAGAGGCCTGCCAGGGGCACCACAGGCCTAACAGCACCACGGGCCTGTCAGGGGCACCTCAGGCTTGTCAGGGCCCAGGGACACCACAGTCCTTCCAAGGGCACCGCAAGCCTGTCAGGGGCACCATAGGCCTGCCAGGGGCACCGGAGGCCTAGCAAGGGCACCACTGGCCTGTCAGGGGCACCTCAGGCTTGTCAGGGCCCAGGGGCATCACAGTCTTTCCAGGGGCATTACAAGCCTGCCAGGGGCACCAGAGGCCTAGCAAGGGCACCACAGGCCTGCCATGGACACCACAGGCCTGCCAGGGGCACCACCGGCCTTGCAGGGGCGCCTCAGGCCTGTCAGGGGCACCACGTGCCTGCCGGGGACACTTCAGGCTTGTCAGGGGCGTTACAGTCCTGTCAGGGCCCAGGGGCACCAGGCCCGTGGTGTCCCTGCTAGGCCTGTGGTGCCCCTGGCGGTCCTGTGGTGCCCCTGTCAGGACTGTGATACCCCTGATAGGCCGGTGGTGCCCCTGGCAGGTCTTTGGGCCCCCGGGCCTCAAGGGGGGGCCATGACCCATGTGACCCCCCCCCCCCCTTGGATCCGCCACTGAAAGAGGCGCATTTCAATTTTCTCCCATTGACTTATAGGTAATGGGGAAGTCGCAAAATTGACCTGACCTTAGGTCATCGATATCATAATTCTGAGATATGAATTTTGTACATGTTATTGCTCTTAGCAATCGCTGAAAGTTTCAAAGCGAGCGGTTATTTGGTGTAGCTATGACAGACATTTAAACTTTTGATGAGGTGAGGTCACTTCAAGTGACCTGATGACCTGAACTTGAATGACCTTGGTCTGAAAATTTCAAAACATGTGTAGAATTGATGTATGATAAGGTGTACCAAAAACGGAGGCGCGGAGCTCCGCCGTTTTTGAAATATTTGCGAAAAACCACAACGGGGGTGTTGAAATACCCCCACCCCCACCCCACCCCAGCAGGGCGCGGGTTAAAGAACAAATTTTCAAAAATTGTATCCTACATCGTCGAAAATGCCGTCTGACACAAATTATCTATGTGTGACCTGTGACCTGGTACCCGATACCTTAGACCGGAATTACGACTTGGCGCATGTCGACACACATTAGGTATCCGTGCGTTTCCAGACTTTTTTTGTGATTAGAAACGTGTGAACATGTGAAATGAAGCTTTTTCCATGCATTATGGCGGGTACTAAGGTCACTTGAACGCCAGGGTCAGGTCATTGACCTTGAGTGACCTTAGGGAACTTTTTAGAGATTTACATTTCAGAGTAGTTTTTTGAGCTGATTTCGGATTTGGCATTCATTTGATGTGTTTTGGCGCATATCCAACATGCTGCGAACCTGTCAGTGAAGGTTTACACAGGTATTATGGATTGCCGGCGGACTTTCGGTTGACTTGACTCGACATGGCCCTACCTTCCCAAATGCGTGAATAAGTCATCGTTGATCAAAGCAAATACTAGACTTGGAAATCAGCACCCCGAAAAAAAAACATGGTAGATTCTCTAAAATGTTCTGGCAGGTCCCGTTTTTCCCTACTTTTGGGTCATTGGCCTGACCTGGAAAGCCAACCAATGACAAAGAACCTTAAAGTTGGGTAGCCGGTCGGCTTCCTCTCGCTATGGGCAACACGCTCATTTCTCCCCTAAGCTCCAGCTCGATCACGGACTGAACAGTTGGGGGGCCCGAACGACCCTCCCCACATACGAGTATAGGTACGCAAGCGGCCGTGAAAAAAAGAAACGAAGATCACAGTCTATAACGGGCTTTTCCGGCGGTGAAATGCTGCCCACTACTGAAAGAACTGCTCATGGTGGGTCGATTCACAAGAGAAGTATGCCCATGCGCAGTTGGAGGGACAAGCTGCTGCAAAGCGTGGGGCCGAACTGTTGCGAAGTTCTAGCTAGAATAGGTAGGTATGTATTTTTACACGTGTACGGAAACGAGCCGGACACCACGCCGATAAGGCACGACATGATCGGACGTAAAGCCCAGCAATGTGTATGGCTCTTTGCAGGACGACGCTTAATCAGCCCAGCAGCGCTAATGACGCCGTGGTGGCGGGGGGGGGGGGGCTACATAGATCCCCGATGCCAATAGAGCGGGTTGGGATTTACCGGACCAGCCCAGAGTCCACGAGGGAAGGGCGGACCAGGCCGGCGCGGAAAGGACGGACTCGGCGCCCATCACGTGAGGATGGGATCGGCCGACCGCGTCGCTGTCGCTGCAGCCGAGAACAGCCGGCCAGCAGCTCCGTGACGGGCTCTACCGTCAGGGGCCGGCGGCACGCGATGGTGCCATTTCGGTCCGCCGCGAGCCCCACCTTCCACCCGCCAGCCCGGTCACGGCTTCAGCAGAAAACATGTCATCATCTACAGAGTTTCGGCGGCTTGGCGAACTTTCGTCAGCTGAGAACTCTCGGGACACGGGCGGGGTATGCAAGGCATGGCTCGGGGCTGGCGCTTCCGGGCGGCGCCTTCCCACATGTTTGGCCAGCCGGATATATGTCGTCAGATTTCAGCTCAGTTCACATAGTTTCGTGTTTTCACACCCGGCTGAGATATCTTAAGGGTACGATTGCGATACATTCCTGAATCCCTCCGCAGCGTACAAAGCGTATCCGCAGCGTATCCACGTACAAAGGTCAAAGGGTCACCGACTTACCAGATTTACTCAGTTGATGCTATATTTTCCTACACTGTGCCACAGCCATTTATCACCAAATATTTCTTTCAAAATAATTTATTGGACGAATTTCGTACCGCTAACAGATGAGCGAATCACATATAAATATGAGGCATGACAATAAAACAAAACAAGTCGCCAATGTATGATTCGCACTTGGCCGCTGTAGATATTTCTGTAAAACGGTTACCTTCCCAATACGACATCCCAATGCATACAATAAAACAAAAACGATCCTCTTAAGACGCGCGCACTCACTTGGTGCATCACATATGATATCACACGCACACACAAGCACTAAACATAAAACATGTAATCTTTGACGGATTAATTCATGAACAATGTTAGACAAATGCACCATTACCACCCGTGGTGCTATGGTATTTTTATCTTACATTATTTAAGAATTAACATAAAACATGGAAAGACACGTGGATATCGCTCACTGTCCCTTCTCATTCCGTCGATGATACGGCCCCAATAGACATCCCACGGTGACAACAGTAATGGTGCGTCGCTCGCACAGGCGAACACCCAGTTCCACTCGACACCGCCCGGGGCGCCGGCGTCGGCAGTCAGTAGTGGACCGTCTTGCGGATCATGCGCGGCAGCACCGGCTTGCAGACGGGCCTCTGCGGGCAGTACTTGATGGTGTGCGCGTTGTCGCCGCGCGCGCCGCACGTGGGGCACGTGTAGGCGCGCAGCACGGGACACCGCACGATGCCCCGCTGGTCCTGGCGGCAGAGACACAGACATGTCGGGTCAGAAACACGGCCGGCTCGGCAGCTGCAGCTGCGCCTGACGGCTGCACTCGTCACACACGGCCCAGGTGTCCTCTGTGCCCCGCGGCGGACCGAGTGGCGGCGGAGCGGCTCGCCGTGCAGTCCGTGCACCGACGGCACAGAGGCGTGCACGAAAAGGCCGACAGGACCGCGGCATTCCATCGGATCATGCGTTCGGCCGGCGCGGCGCGATATTGCGAAAATGTCGCCCCGGCCGTCTGGACATGCCGAAGCTGACCGCTACTGTTTACGTTACAGCGGCCCGCCTTTGATGTCCGCAGGCCCGACCGGCAGGGTGTGGCTGGCTGTCATCAAAGTCAACAAGCAGCGGAGTACCGCATGTTCCCAGAAATACGGCAACCGTGCTGCCGTGATTTCGAGCTATTTTGTCGTTTATTTAGGTGGGCGTTCGGTGAAGGCTACAGAATGCAGGAGGGGCTCGTACCTTTACCAACGTAATAACTAGGTTGCATGGTATGCACACGATCATATAAAAGCAATGGCATCAAACTGTTTTAGCAACATATTGGATCATCTGGTAACCCTGATCTTTCTTTAAGTATATTTTAAGTTTTCAAAGGTGAGACAGGTGCTTAAATTGCCTAGTGAGATTCCAATAGACTTCATGACGCTTGTTTTTGAATGAATTAAGTAAAACATCGTGTTTCAAGGGCTCTGTAGTCCTAACACTAACAAACAGATGGATAGCTCCCAGTACCAAGGCTTGAAGTACTGACATCGACAATTGATATCGGAAGAAATTCAGAAAGCTGGCTATTGTGGAGCATATACTAAAGAAAGAAAAACTTCATGGAACAGCAAATGCGACGAATACTGCAAATGAATATCGTGAATCATTGAAACCATCGGAATGTTAGCCCGTCAATCTTCCATGCGTTGCGTGTTAATTTATGAAATGTTTTATGCTAATGTTAAATTGCCACTAACGAGCGACATTCCTATGTTTCGTTTCTTTCTTTTTACGCGCCACTGGAGTACTCACCCGGCGACAGCAGGATGCTCCAAGGTACCATATTTGACACGAGCTCAGAAGCCTGATGAAATTCCAGCCCCGTGCTGATGAAATTACCGTCACGATACGACCCCACACATCTCTTACAGCATGCAATCCGCACGTACATACGGGCTGTCAACACCGTCTGAACCCTGCCCTGACTGGTCAATGGCACTGTCTTATGTAACAGCTGCGGCGGGCCTCAGTCGACAAAGCTCTGCTCTGCCCGCTGCCGGCGACTCACCTTGAGGATGTGGTTGGAGTAGAACTGCGCCGTCTCGCCGTTGTTCTTGCAGAACACGCAGAGGTCGGGCAGACTCTTCTTGCTCTTGCGCCTGGCCTCGAGCAGCGGCCGGGTGAGGAGGCGCGCGCTCAACAGCTCCGCCTCGGGACGGTACTCGGTGTCGCGGCCGTTCTCCCGAAACTCGGCCAGAATCGCCTCCACGTCGTCCGAGTCTGAAACGAGCGCCAGCCGAGACAGGCGTCACAGCCACAGCCACGGCTTTCAAAAGATTGGCTGACTGAGATTTATTTTTAAAAGTCGCAATTAACTGAAACGATTTAGGTTAACCGTCTTCGCCCCCGAAATTACCTTTCGGGATATAATTTTGAATTCCAATGCCTAAATTTTTACGGATATGCGTGTCAAAGTCCCAAACAAATTCTTGCCGACGTCGTAAGTAAACATCTGCACAGTGCTAAAATATGGTGTACCCATGTCTTAGACACGAGGTCGTCTTAGGTCATGAAATGTAAATCTAAATAGCAGTTTTTCGGCAATAACTTTTGGTAGACACTTAGAGCCAAAGCAACCACTTGAATGTATTCGGGTCGACGATGCGGATCGCTGGTATGGAACATGGCCTTTTCCGGTCAGGTCACCTTGACCTTAGGTCAAATTTTCAAATCGGCTTAACCCGCGCCCCACTGGGGGGGGGGGGGCTATTCATAGCCCCTCCCAATTTTCTGCAATAACTTCTAAACCGCTTGACGTATCGACGTCAAACTTTCAGTACCTTTGGATGCATCAACTTGACACCTTGTGTCAAAATTTGAACTTCGTAGCTACCATAGGTTGACCGGAATTGACGTCAGAGTGACGTCATGTTCGGCCGATTTCGATTTCGATTCCGATTTCGACGCATTTCGCGATTTCGGCCTGAGCTATAAGCTAAATTCAACTCAACATGACCTCGAATGACATAAACGACATCGAATCCGAAATTTATGGCCTAAACGGATTATAAAACATGTGTCACGTGACCGATGCATGATATAAGCTTTCCGTGACCTGTGATGACCTGACCCTGAACTGAAAATCAAAGTACAAGTTTGGTACCCTTAGAGTATCTAAATTATCTGTTCACGAGTGTGTAAACCAAAAATGAGCTTGTTCTGACTTGTAAGCCGGCGGCCAGAACCCAAATTGTGAACAAGCCAAACATTGATAATTTTTACTTTGACCTGACCTGTGACGTCATCGGTGACTTCGAGGTCAATGAAATTAGGTTTCGCTCGACAGGTTTCCGGGGCTATCAGACGCCGCGGTTTAAATTTTGACGATCGGCACAGTAGTTTCGGAGGTAGGAGGGGGGGGGGGCTATGAATCCCCCCGTAGGACGTGTTATACGCAGACCCCAGTGTGGGCCGCGAGTTAAGGCCAAATTGTAGTTCGTGATGAGAAATTCGATATGTCTTGCTATACCTGTCATACATAAGGATAAATAAACGATTAGAAGGTCAGAGTGACTTTTATGATGCGCCATAATACTGCAATCGTTCAACAGATATTAGAGACTGCTGGTCTGAAATATACGAGTCCCAGCATGGAAAGCATGCAAGTTATGAACATCGATGGGTTTCGCTTGGCTATGCACTCTACAATCTACATGCCCGATCGCCTACTGTGCGCCGGCCCCGTTTGCCAAGCACGAGCTGCCCCTCACTCGGCATAGTACCTATGGTCTCAGCTGAGGACCCGGGGTAGAGGCTAGAACTGGTTTGGAGCGCCCGGCGGCACGGAACAGGGTCAGAGGTCAGGTAAAGGTCAGCTGCCGGGCGTAGTGTTCGAGGACCGGTGCCGGGAGGGGGCCGGCGGGGTGGTTAGTGGCTGTGTGGGGCTGTGGTCACGGCGATGGGCCTGACCACTGCAGCAGTGGCCACACTGGTTTACAAAACCCTGCATCCTCCCGTCACGACATGTCAGGCTCCGTGACCCAGTATGACCTGGCATCAGCAAGAAATGTCCGGCAACGGGTACCTGCTAAAAACAAACGCACACACACACGCAGGCAAGTAGTACACTGTGACGAGCGGAATGGTGTCGAACGAAAAACAGCCTTTACGATCGCCGGCCCTGTCGGTTTTCTGCATACGCCACAGCCGAGGGGAGGGGTGGGACCTCGCCGCTTTCAGTGTGGCCAAATTGGTTTAGCGTTAGGGGGAGGACGTATAAAAAAGTCGTATGAAGATGTCCCTATCTAAAAAAATCGTCTTCAGCCTCATTTTAGGTGCAGTTTTTACAAGTAATGTGGAAAAACTATACCTGACGTCAAGCTCTGGTGGAAAGTAAAAAAAAAAACTCCAAATATTGTCATTAAAGATGTAAAAAAACAACATTGCAAGCGCGACAGCACGAGTATGACTGTGCGAATCGTACATTGGAACATTTTTAATCTGTATTCCTACACTAGGTATGCTTTCACAGCAAAAACGTCGTGATGATGTAATTTTAAAATTTCTGAGGATGTCATTATACTTTTCATTGGGGGGGGGGGGGGTGACTTTCCCCGCAACATCACCAATTTGGCCGCACTGCCGCTTTCGCCCCTAACTGAGTCACACGGAGAAAAGGGCAAGCGCCGTTGCGAGATGCAGCGACTGGTAACCAATTTTAAGATCGAGTATTTTTAAACAATAAACATCTTTATCTGTAGATCTTTGAACGCCTGCAGCACGCAGCGCAGCTGCCAGTGGTGGTAGATGCTGTAACAGTGTAACAATAACCTTAAAGACGTTTAACGGTCGACCTGACCTGACCAAACCTACCACAGCCGCACAAATACTATCGTGCAAACGATTGCAATATCCGAAATCAGGATTCCAAAATACATAAACTCTTTCCAAGAAAGTCAAGCAGATCCTAATTTTTTCAAGCTTCCGATTACTGACCTGACCTGGAAGGTCAGCTAATAAACTCGGACCTTGAAGGACGTCATCGGTTCGTTTCTTTACAAAGAGCTCTAGCTCAATCAGGGCCAAGCGACCATGCGGAGGGATTCGACCGACCCTTTTCCACATAAATATAGATGTGTATATTTAACCCTCGCACTCAAACGGCTGGACCCCTCCACTCGGCTTTTCACGAAAGGCTTGCGTAAAAAGCGGCCGATTGTCACAAAACTTCCCGCAGCCTCGAGTTAAAAATTCTTTACACACCATAACAATTTCATGACCCTGATCTTAATGACTTTTGACCTGTGACCTATTTCTCGAGGCCATGTCAGGCCGGAATTGCGATTATATGGAGTAAACTTGTCATACACTCTCTCGCCAAAGCCTCCTTAAGTGCCCCAGAAAGTTATTAAGTTAACCCGCGCCCCGTTGAGGTATGGCAGGTTACACGTCTAGGGTGAGGGGGGGGCGACAAAGGGCCCCCGTCGTATCTCCGGAACCAATAGCCGGATCGGAAAAATTCAAACGGCAATCGAAAGAACTCATCGAGATGTACAAGATAAGATATCGATAACTTTGATAATTGACCTGTGACGTCACAGGGAGGTCAAAAATGTGAAATCAGTCCAATTTACAATGACGAGTCGAGAAGTCGGTCATAAAAATGAAATATAAGTTTCCAAAATGACTTTGGATATGATGTATATTGTATATGATAGATTTGGCATATGGATAGTCACCTGAGTGGATGATGACCTAGGACGTCATAACAGAGGTCAGCCTCGACCAATCAGAAAACACTTCCGTGAATCGTAAGGAAAGGCATGTTAAATTGTGAATATTCGAGTCTTTATGAAGACAGGTCATATATATGCAACCACAGACACCTCCTTGACCATTTTCTTGGACCTATGACGTCACAGAAAGGTCAAATAGGGTCACATTGTACTGGTTTACAACGAAAAACAGGTTTTTACGTAAAAGAGACTTTACTCACGTAAAGGATCATATTCAGTCAGGAAGAGGTTGATACGTAGGTATCATTAATACCTACTATTCCTCACTGAGTTCAAGCACAAATACCCAAAAACTCATAAGAACAGTCGCTACCTTTTCAGTCATTCAAACGGCTATATCTCTGGCAGTTTTAGAGATATTTTGTTAATTTTTGGCTTGTGTAAGACCCGTAAGGGTTTCTCTGACAAATATTCCCATTTTCTAGAAATTTCCTCCAATTTTAAAAATATCCTAGTAAATCTAAATTTTGAGTTCGAAAATCTCTAGATCTAAGGATTTTTTTTAAATTTTTGGAAATTTAAAGATAACCATTTTGTTTGTCATGCCTTTTTATACCTACGGTCCAATTTTTAAGTCGCTAAGTTTAAACCTTGATTTTCTGCGATTTTTCTCAGTGAACAACTTTTTCGATGAAAAATCGTCGAACATGACCTCCGTTTGACCTCTATAACTCGTGACCTGAGATGAACTGGGACATAATTGTTCCAGGAGTTGTGTAAAATTGATGTCCGGAGAGTTACCTACTGAAGGCTTCAAGTCGAAATTCGCAGTTGTTTCTAAGTTATCTGCAAAAAAAAAAAAACACGGGGGGCCTTTTGGCCCAACGGGTCGTGGGTTAACAAAGCGACATCATCAAAGGCCAATGGCCACTGTACATTTCATGATCCTTTACATCCATGCCATAGTCCATGAGACAATCATGACTTAACCCGCGCCCCGTAAGAGGGGGGGGGGGGGGCGAAACGCCCCCCCGTCCTTTTCAGTCAATATCTCCTAAACGACTGCAGATATCGTCACCAAACTTTCAGGACCCCTCCGGGCAACAATTTTACACATTATGATAAAAATTGTCCATAGGCTATAATAGGTTCGCCGCAAATGACGTAAGAAGGACGTCATGTTCTGCCATTTTCGAACAAAAAAAAAAAAGGTTCACGGGAAGAGCTGTCAGGCTTACAGCTCTGAAGATACAGAAAATGATCAAGACATAAAAGGTGTCGAATTAACGGGGCTACAAAACTGTAATCTCAGATCTGTGAATTTTTTTGGGTTTTAACCCCTAAAAATAAAAAATAGATAAAACAGTTAAAAAAGTTTTTTTTTTTCAAATTTCGAGAAAAACGGAATATAAATGAGAGTCACTCCCACATTCACCACATACCAAATTTGAGTTTGATGCTTCTTTTTTTGGCCAAGTTATAGCGAGAACACTATTCAAAATTGATAACGTCAAATTTTTTGCTCATTTGTTAGCAATTCTAGACCATTAGCGCAAATCAAACACCACTAGACCTCGTGACGAGCTGCATGGAAACGATACCCAATTTATGCAAAAATATCAACTTTTAAATTTGACCTTATTTGGCTTGACCTTGACCTGACCTTTACCAGAACATAACCTTAACCCGCGCCCCACTGGGGTCTGCGTATAACACGCCCTACGGGGGTGGGGGGGCTCTTCATAGCCCTCCTCCTAACTCCAAAACTACTGGCCCGATCGTCAAAATTCAAACGGCGTCTGATAGCCCCGGAAAAACTGTCGAGAGAAACCTAATTTCATTGACCTCGAGGTCACCAATGACGTCACAGGTCAGGTCAAAGTAAAAATTATTAGCATTTTGGCTTGTTCACATTTTGGGCTCTGGCCGCCGTCCTACAAGTCAGATCAGGCTCATTTTTGGTTTACACACTCGTGAACAGATGCTCTAGATACTCTGAGGATACCAAACTTGTACTTTGATTTTCAGGTCAGGGTCAGGTCATCACAGGTCACGGAAATATTATATCATGCGCCGGTCACGTGAAACATGTTTTATGGTCCATTTAGGCCATATATTTCGAATTTGATGTCGTCTGCGTCATTCATTTTGAGTCGAATTTAGCTTAGGTCAGGTGAAGGTCACTTTCAGGTAAAAAAAGGTTCAAATTTTGAAGTTAGAATTTTTCAACAAAAACATGTCTATCGGATGCAGTTTGAGCTCAGAAACACGATGGTGCCATTTATACTGGTGTACGATGTCAAATACGTACTGAAAAATTGCTTTGAAAAATTAATAATTATGAATTTTTTGCAATAGTGCGTATAACTTGGCCATTTTTTAAGATATTTAGCTAAAACTTGCTAGTTAGTCATAAGCATGCGTTGTATCACATATATTCCGATTTTCTTCGAAGAGGTAAAAACTTTTTGAAAAATATAAAAATATAAGTTTTGAATTTTATGATACAAAATTTTAGACATTTTCAACATTTCGAAAATCCGAGATGGCACTTTGATAGCGCAGTCTATTCTGAGTCCTTTCATGCAAATAAATTGGATCTAGCTTAAAAACTGAGCTATTGGAAACGATTGCCGTGGTTCAATGTTTTGCGTCGAAATCGGCCAAACATGACGTCACTCTGACGTAATTTCCGGCCGACCTATGGTAGCTACGAAGTTCATATTTTGACACAAGGTGTCAAATTGATGCAGCCGAAGGTACTGAAAGTTTGGCGTTGATACGTTAAGCGGTCTGGAAGTTATTACAGAAAAACGGGAGGGGGCTATGAATAGCCCCCCCCCCCCCCAGTGGGGCGCGGGTTAACTGGCCCCAAAGGTTGCCTGACCCACATAATCTCATTTGCCATGTAAGATGGACCATAAAACATGCATCATACGACACTTTCGTATTGTGACCCTCAGTGACCTAACCTTTGTGACCTGACCTGGTATCAACGACCTCAATTAGCAAAATATGTGTTTTGCGGACAATTCCCCCATCGATAATTTACAATAACATGCCTTTTACTCGATTTTACAACACAATTCTTGAAATGCCTGTAAACGGTGAAAATTCGATCTTTGACCTGACCTGTGACGCCATCAGTTGGACCAAGGTCAATGAAATCGGGTCACAAGGTAGTTCCGTGGTAGGACTATCCAAAGCCGTTTGAATTTTGAGAATTTGAATTGGCCGTTAACTTTCTGATATCTTAGGGGGAGGGGGTAGCGAAACGCCTCCCCTCTACGGGTGGTATGGTCCGCCGATAGCCCTACGGGGCGCGGGTTAAAGGTAGGGAATAGCACAATATTGGGTGGTGAGTCTGACATGGGGCGTTGAATTGCCATTTTGGCCTTGAGGAAGAGATGACAGTCGAATGCCCTTCGATTCAGGGTTACAAAATTGTCAGGGATCAGGGAAGGTAAAATGACTTTTTTAATGAGGGAACGGAATGTTTGGTCTTGATTTGCCACTCAAATTTAGCCTTCACAAAACGAGGGTGTCATTCATCTAACCCCATGGGTGGAACGGTTGACGTTTTTACTCTCGTTGAATAAGAAGAGTGTAGGCATGGCAAAGACGATCACTGCAGTCTGCAAGTGCTGAAATGAAAAACGTCTGCGAAAACCCTACAAGGTATGACATGACGTGCCACGCTCCCGGATCAGGATCATTTTCTGACATTCTTCCCGACTTGAATGATTTGATTGATTCCTACTGTTGACTGATTCCTACTGAAGTCCATGAAGGGAATAAAAGCTCTCTGCCTTTTTAATACCAAAACGAAACTATCACCACCAGCACTGATCAAGACAAGTCAAAGTAGCTACCTACTACCCATGTCCTACATGTATCCAAAAAAAAAAAAAGAATGTATTAATTTCCAATATATGAATGTAAGATTTCAACGTTAAAAATGTAACAACGTGTTGATACTGGTCACTCATTCATTCATTCATTCATTCATTCCAATTCATTCTTTGAATGACTCATGCACACTGCCAGCCGACGTTAGCTAAGTAATTAAGTATCCATCACATGCACATAGACACTTTTGGAAAACACATAAAACAAGCTACTTGGCAATCGCTTGTGAACATTTCATACCAAATGGAGTACAGCATCCTTCGCAAACCGGCCTAACAATTATGCTCTCGTCAGTCGTGTTCCAAATGCCGAACTGGAACATCAGCGGCGCCAGCTTACCGTCAAAGAAGACGTCTGGTCGGTAGGCAATCAAATCGGGCCACATTTTAAATACCCACTTCGAGCACTTGGAAAACACCGACTAAAACGAACAGCACACAAACCGCCCACCTCACAGCCAGTTGTCGAGCACTGATTTTTCTCGATCACTTCCTGGCTGCCACCAACCTGCGGGCGACGGGACTTCAGCCCCGAGCGTGGCTGACGTCACGACCGCCACCAGCCAATCAGTGATCAGCGGCGTCCGCGGCGGTCGTCTTGGACTGGACGGCTGACTGTTGCTAACCACTTCCGCTCGTGGCATGGCTCGTGCCTATTGTTGTTGTTTTCGAAGGGGTGCCACTGTCTTCAAGAGTGCCATTGATTCAAACTTATTCAAAATACGTTTGAATGGCAACTGAGATTTGGTATCCAACGAGCGAATCGCAATCATCGGAAGGTTATTTCTAATCATCGGAATATTTCTAATGATATGCTACCTATCTGCAAAATTGTGGTTCTCAGTGAGCTCTCTCAAATAAGCATGTTTTGGTGCAGCCATTATATGATAAAGGCTAGTTTTGCAATTTAACCCTCGCATGTGTGCGGCGTTTGCCAGCTTCTAATGTGTAGGGGGGGGGGGGTCGGTTGGACCCCCCTTGCCGTTTGGCCCCTGATTGAGCTAGAGCTTCGCGGAAAAAACGAGCGTGCTGCCTGTCACGAGAGGAAGTCGATGATACCCAATTTTAAGGTCCTAGGTCATTGGTTGACCTTCCAGGTCAGGTCAATGACCCAAAGGGAAAATCGGGACCTGTTAGAAAGTCGAAAGTGTGGCTGATTAGAGGTTTTTCGGGGTGCTGATCACGAATATCGTGTTAGTTTTGATCACAGGTGATGTCTTTAAGCATTTAGACCAGGTCGGGTCAGGTCAGGTCAGGTCAAACAGTAGGAGTCGTGACGGGTATTCGTAGTATGTGTCAAACGCATCTGGCAGCTTCGTAACATGTTACGAAGGCACCAGAACTACTTCGTTAACACGCGCACCGACGGGGGAGCGGATATCCGCCCCCCCCCCCCCTGAGGTTTCTCGCGGATAGCGGGGAAAACCGCGGCGCGTAGCGCCGCGAAATTTGGTACGACTATTCTCTCATCAATTTTACACATGGTGTGCAAGTTTGAACCTTTAAGGTCAGGTCACCAGGTCACTTTGAATGACCCAACCAAGTCACTTTTTTGCAACTTTGTCACCGTGCCAGAGCTACAGTAGATGTCGGAGGCCTTTGAAAGTCACAGGATGTTATTAGGTTATTGGTAGCTACAATTTGTTAATCTCAGAATTTTGATGTCGGTAACCTAAGGTCAGGTCAATTTCGCGACCTCCCCATTATAAGTCAATGGGGGAAAAATCAATTCCCTGTTTTTACCACTAAAATGGGTCGGAATGGCCCCATATACCATACATGACTTCATATACGATCAACCTTCACTACCTTGAGGTGTGTTTTGCTGTTGGGCAGCTGTAAGGTCATGTGACGTCATCAAATGTCACCAACGGTTTTTTTTGCCAATAACTCCGTACAGGAATAAGATACAGCCGCGTGGATGGTCTCATTGTGTTCAGCTCGTCAAGACGCATCGAATGATATACATGATGACCTCGAGGTCACGTGACCTGAGGTCAACCTTTGACCTTGACCTTTCGAGATCAACATATATATCATTCGATGCGGATTAACGAGAGGATCACGATGATGCCCTTAGTTTGTTCCTATCTTGACTAATTCGAAAGTTATTCGAAAAAAAAAACTCTCCATATCTAGCGCCGCCATTTTGACTTTTTCGACCCCTGTGACGTCATCTTTGAGTTTTGACCTTTGACCGTCAAAATGACCTTAGTAAGAATTGTAGACCTTGTCCGTGCGTATCCGATGCCGTTTACTGCTTGTCGCTATCTTGCCCTTCTCGAGATCTTAGGGGGGGGGGGGGGCGGTCATCCGCTGTACTTCTCGTAAATAGCAAGCGGCGCCATGATTTAACTTTTGCACTTTTGCGCCAATTGCCTACTTGATTTGTTTATATTCATCTGTTTGTTATTGAATAATGGCTTCTCTCTCTCTCTCTCTCTCGCTCTCTCTCTCTCTCTCATCTCTCCTCTCTCTCTCCTCTCTCTCTCTCTCTCTCCTCTCTCTCGTCTCTCTTCTCTCTCCTCTCCTCCTCTTCTCTCTCCTCTCTCTCTCTCTCTCTCTCTCTCTCTCTCTCCCTCTCTCTCCTCTCTCTCTCTCTCCTCTCTCCTCTCTCTCTCTCTTCTCTCTCTCTCTCTCTCTCTCTCTCTCTCTCTCTCTCTCTCTCTCTCTCTCTCTCTCTCTCTAACTCTCTCCTCTCTCTCTCTCCTATCTCTCTCTTCTCTCTATCTCTCTCTCTCTCTCTCTCTCTCTCTCTCTCTCTCTCTCTTCTCTCTCTCTCCTCTCTCTCTCTCTCTCTCCTTCTATCTC